TTCACCCACGCCCATGCCCACGCCCACGACCCATGCACCCACGCCCATGCCCACGGCCACGACCGCATTTTTCCTTTTTTTTACATTCCGTCGCTTTCGGCGCCGCTTTCCCCTTTTCGGCCGCTGCAACGGCCATTGTCCCCTTCGCAACAGCAACCATCCAGACCCACGCACCCACGCCCACGCCCACGCCCACATTTCCCCCTTTTTTTTTCATTTCGTCGCTTTCGGCGCCGCTTTCCCGGTTTTGACCGCCGCCCCCCGCTGCAGCAGCAACCATCCAGACCCACGCACCCGCACCCACGCCCACGCCCGCATTTCCCCCTAATTTTCCCTTCTTTTTTTTTTCGTTCCGTCGTTATCGATGCCATTTTCCCCTTTTTGGCCGCTGCAGCGGCCGTCGTTCTTACTTCGCGTCCATTTTTTTTCGATTGGCCAATTCTGGTGCAGGGAGCCTGTCGCTTTCCCGCTGCTCACTTTTTTTTCTTTTTTCGCTTTCCCGCTTTCTTTTCTTTTTCGTCGCGCCCCCGCTTTCCTTTTTTTTTCGTTTGGTCAGTTTCGGTGCAGGCAGCCCGTCGTGTTCCCGCTGCTCGCTTTTCTTTTTTCGCTTTCCCGCTTTCTTCACTTTTTCGTCACGCTCCCACTTTTCACTTTCTCGCTTTCTTTGCTTTTTCGTCGCGCTCCCACAGGGGCACACACACATACACAGACACATAGAATACACATTTCGTAAAAATCGAACTTTTTTCCAAAAAGTGAACTATTTCGAATGTGAATGAATACACTGTATATGGGTCAATAGGGCCTTATGCGGCAGTCTAAGTGAGGATAAGTGGTCAGTATATGTAGTGTTGATGGGGTGAATGTTGTGGTGGGGTGTTTTGAGCCCTTCATACATGAATAGTCGTTATTCAATGCGAATTAGCAGTGTATAAAATGTGTTCCCGTCCTGTCCTGGTTAGGTACAGGGAACGATACTGCACAACATAAAAGGGTAGGGGCTCTTTATAAGACGATATCTTGTTGTCCTGACTAGGTGTAAGGAACGACTGTGCCAATCACACTACACGATATAGGGCAGGGGCTATCTGTATAACAATTTGTTGGGTATGTGGTCCCTATGTTCCATAAAAGGTCAGGGGTTGGGCGCCCGACACCTTGAAAGTTGATGGACTGAACCCGTCAACTGTGGTCAGGCGGAACACCCAGCCTGGTGCACTGACCAACCCGCAACCCATCAATACCCCTGCAACAAATGTGTTCGTCATTTTCCTTGGCGGAAGGGTCTCCTTTTTGGGGTGACAAATACTAGTTAAACATCGCATCAATTCGTAGTTATCGGTGTTCGATAGAGCACCTTAAGGAAGTGTCAAACAGTCGTTGGCTCGTTGTGTCGATTGCCAATAGCACTCTTAGGGAGCCTTGATGCTGATTCCTGATCTGTTTGGCGATTGAGCACCTTGAACAAGTGTCAAACAGTCGTTGGTCAAGGTTGATGTTAGGTCGTGATCTGTTTGGTGACTGACCACCTTCAAGAAGTGTCAGACCACCTTCAAGAAGTGTCAAACAGTCGTTGGTGATGGTTGTGGATTTGTTTTCCGCAGGTTATTCGTTGCCGGTGCGGATTGCCATTAGCATTCTTAGGGAACCTTGATGATGACTGTGGATTTGTTTCCCGCAGGTTATCAGTTATTGGGCAGTCTTTGATGTTGAAGTCCGCCACTGACGTTAGTCTGGTGGGTTTGTGGTTGGCCTTCCTGTCGGACCTGGATCTGTTTCGAGCAGAGTTTCACACTCCACAAACAGAATTGAACTCCAGTACCTGCAGGTTATCAGTTGTTAGGCAGTCTTTGATGCTCAACCGCAACTGAGGTCAAGTTGGTGGGTCAGTGGTGGGCCTTCTTGTTGGACCTGGATCTGTTTCAAGCAGAGTTTCGCATTCCACAAACAGAATTGAACTCCAGGTCCCGCAGGTTATCAGTTGTTGGGCAGTCTTTGATGCTCAATCGCAACTGAGGCTAGGTTGGTGCATCAGTGGTGGGCCTTCCTGTTGGACCAAGATCTGTTTCGAGCAGAGTTTCATACTCCACAAACAGAATTGCACTCCAAGTCCCGCAGGTTATCATATGTTGGGCAGCCTTTGATGCTCAATCGCAACCGGGGCTAGGTTGGTGCATCAGTGGTTGGCCTTCCTGTTGGACCTGGATCTGTTTCGAGCATAATTTCGTACTCCACAAACAGAATTGAACTCCAGGTCCCGCAGGTTATCAGTTATTGGGCAGTCTTTGATGCTCAATCGCAACTGGTGCTAGGTTGGTGGGTCTGTGGTGGGCTTTCCTGTTGGACCTGGATCTGTTTCGAGAAGGTTATAAGTTGTTGGGCAGTCTTTGATGCTCAATCGCAACTGGGGCTAGGTTGTTGGTCATTTTTGTTGAATGGCATATGAGCAAAGTGCGAGTGAACTCTCACTGAAGTGGATTGCTCAGGGTTAACACCGCAAGTGCGAGTGAACTCGCACTTAGATGGAGAGCTAGGTGCACACACCATCAACCTGCTGATTTAATATGGACACTGACTTGCCATTTGTATATTCCCTGATAAAATTGTCATCACATCTTTGCATGAACAGTTCCATAACATAGATTCGTAATATTCACTCTTCTCATCGCAAACATCGATCCCGTCCTTGACATGAGTATCTTTTCATCGAAAACATCCATGCAGACCGACGTCGCAGTACACCATCGAAGCATGTATCGAGACAGAACAACAGACGGTGACCTAAATCAGAGCCGAGGCAGTTGTAAGATTTTGCCAATGAAGAAGTGAAAGAGATGCGTCGACTTATTGAGAACCAGGAAATGGGTCAACGCAATGAAAACAACACCGGGTCGAAAGAGGATGGAAAAGAACATGACATTTGAAGTATATAGCCGGCTTTGGACCGAACGGGAAACCTTGCTCGGCACCCTTCATGAAATTTCCGCTCGAAATAATCGGTGCGCAGGCACGTCTCAGATTTAAAATTCGGATGAATTTGAGACACCTAGCACCATGGTATTTGCATGTCCGCAGCGTGTGAAGTCCTTATGTGGGAACCATCCGAGACGTTAATGTATCCAGGGGGGGGCAACAGTACTACATGTATGCAACACCGAGCACCCATCGGCACGTATACAAGCAATGGAAGTGATCACGAGTCTTCTGCATCGGGTAGAAATGACCACCTTTCACGAAGTGCCAAACAATCGGCGATCAAAGCTCTCGAGTGCTAAAAACATTCTTAAGGGACATTGCGATCGTGTTCAAAACTTATTGGCGTAGCACTAGATGCTCACCAAACAGTTTTGGATATCGATTATATCGACACATCATATGATGCTTACAAGCAAGCAGTGGCTGATTGTGGGACCTTCTACCCTGTGTGGATATCAACAGAAAAAACGTGGCTGGTTTTCAAGCAATATTTATAGTATTTCATCTCGAATTTCTTCAAAAGATCAACAACTTTTCTATTGTTATTCCACAACGGTTCCCTCGTTTCATCAAGAATCCAAGTAAATCAACGTTCGCTCATCTGTCAATCTAGGGACGTCTCAGATTTTAAAAGCATGATCAACGTTGAATTATTGTTGAAATGTTCAAGATCCGTTGTTGAAAAACAGTTGATCTGTTGTTGATCAATATGAATCAGAGGTGACAAAAAAAAAAAGGTGAAGCATGATAAATCTGGGTAGCACAGCAATGCCGGCTAGATTAAGTGACTGGAATATCCTGCCTCATCATCCGGCATCCGGTTTATCTGGAAATCCAGATAAACCGGAAATAGGGCAAAAAAAAAAAAGAAAAAAAAAAAAAAAAGGTTGCGCCTAAGGAAGGCTACCTGAGATATGAAACTTGAAAGTTTTTGGCCATAAACAGTTTATTGGTATGATTGTTGGCTTGCTTGCTTGATTGACTGATTTGTTGATTGTTTGATTGATTGGTTTCATTAATTGCTTGCTTGATTCATTGGTAGATCATTGTCCACGGTTGCTCACGAGTGGAGACATCCACAAAAAAAAAACACACTCACACATGGATGATTGATTTGTGATCTGCATTGTTGGAACACGGGACACACACATTACAGACACACACGCACATAACCACACACACACACACACACACACACACACACAGACACACACACACACACACACACACACACACAGTGTCACACAGGTACATACAAAGCCCAAGTCAGGTACATTGAATTCCTAAGTAAGGTCCATAGGAGCACCGAAAGGCAAAGTAAGGTTGACATGCAGCAAACACAAATTGAAAGTGTGGTTCACGACCACACACAAACATTGAGAGTCTGAGTGAGGTCCATACAAACACGCACTGAAAGCCTAAGTCAAGTACACAAAGACACAAACTGAAAGCTAAAGCGAGGTCTACATACACACATTGGAAGCCAAAGTCTGGTCCACACACACACTCAGAGTGTAAGGTTTACACAAGCACACTGAAAGCCTAAGTCATGTTCTCATACACAACATTCTAAGTGCAAGTCATGAGTGCCCCTCTCTCGCTCACAAACACACACACACCTACCTCTATCTCTCTCACACACACACCTACCTGTATGTCTCACATACACACAAACCTACCTCTATCTCTCACATACACACCTACTTGTCTCTCTCACACAAACGCGTGCATGCACACACACACACACACACACACANACACACCTACTTGTCTCTCTCACACAAACGCGTGCCTCACACATCACACACACACACACACATGTCTCTCTCTCTCTCCCTCTCTCTCTCTCTCTCTCTCTCTCTCTCTCTCTCTCTCTCTCTCTCTCTCTCTCTCTCTCTCTCTCTCTTAGCAGCAGCAGTCCTCGACCATCGTGACCTCGTAAGCCTACTGGGCGTCAACAGCGTCCCCTCCAGTATGTGCGTCGTCGTCATCATCTGAGGAGTGTGACGGAGCCTCGTACTCACTCTCCGACCCGTCACCACTGCCCTGCTCATCATCATCGTCGCCCTCCTGAACCTCGACGTGCCTCGTCCTGTCCGCAGCACCACAAGAATGAGTACTTACTTCATGCATGGATATGGGCGCTGGTGACCCGCCCCCTATAGCACCGAGCGACCCCAACAACCTCTCTATTGATCCTGCGGCGCCCTGTCTCCCTCTACCCCTCCCCGATCGACCCCCTTGGGGGCGCCCGCGTGGTCTACCCTGCACTGCAGGTCTCTGTGGCTGCTCTCGCCCACGTGTGTCAGGGGCCTTCCTCTTCCTCCCTCTCGTCAAAGTGTTGTCAACAATGGCAGACGACACTCGAGTAGGGAGTGGAGGAACCGCAACTGAAACGACCGGTCCACTGCACACAGGATCCGAATGACTGCGAGCCACTGGGGCCACAGATGGAACACCTCGACTGCCCTGTGAATGTTGTGCTGCTATGCTCATGGATGACGACAACCATCCAAGAGGCGTTGTGGCAGTAGGGGACGATGTACGAGGGGGAAGAGTCAAGCCGGGTCCGCGAACCACAGTACGACCATGTAAGATAGACAGCGGAGGAGCGGTATAGAATGACACAGGCCGAAGTGCAGCGGAAGTCATCCCAGCTCCAGGACTCCCTCCAAGCGTCGTCGTCGTCGTCATCGTCGCTGTGTGCGGATCCGTGCTCTCTAATGTACGAGGGGCCCCTGCCGATGTGGGAGCAACCTCCTTGGTTGTGGAAGGGGGCTCTATGTCTGTCTCGTGGCCCCCCTCATCCGTAACAGCTCCCTCCTGCTGCACAATACATGTGTGTGTGGCTGTCTCCATCACACACGGGTGCCCAGTGTGATGTCGTGCCACAGTCTCCCCGATAGTAAGGGGCACCTTTGAATGGAAAGGTGCAAGGGTGGTATCATCCATGCCCGTACACGCAGATGGGTCATGCCGCGCTGGGGACGACAACGATGTGGGAACACCCTCTGTCTCTCGCGCCCTGCCGTCCAACCTAGTTTGCTGCCCAGAGATAACGGTAGCGGCCTCCAACTCCTCCACAGCAGGACCTGTCACCTGATCCTCGACAACGGGATGCGGCTCCTCTAAAACAGTGGCATGTGTCACACGCTCCTCGGTAACAGGAGCGCTCCCCTGCTCCTCAATGGCGGGACATGGCTGTTGTGCTACACGACCCGGGACAGGGGCATCACAATGCTCCTCTCCTGTCCCAACAACAGATGGCATACCAAACGATGGAGCAACGGGGGGGGGGACTACCACCTCCGCCGTGCGTGTCGATCCTACCTCTGTGGTAGCTGCACTAGAGCCTGCCCCACCGTCGAAGGTGGTCGCATGAAAGCCCGTATCCACACGACGGTCCTGCTGAACCCCTGCACTCGCCTCATCCGGTCTGCGACACTCGTGAATGTCCTTCATCATATGAAGGGTGTGTCTGGAGCCGTGCAGGTAGCCGTCTAGGTCATCCAGAATGTCAATCCCCCCCCATCTATCCCACACACGAGAGACGAGAGGGTCATCACGCACTACCTTTTTCCCCTTCCCTGCTGCCGCAATCTCCTCGATCATGTCCTTCCCCTCCCAGACGTCATCCGCCTCGTACATGATGTCCTCCTCGTCCTCATCCTCGTAGTCCCGCCCCTGCAACAGTCGTGCACTAGCACGATCCCCCCCCTCCTTGCGCCGACTACGAATCTCTGCCTCCACCTCCTCAAAGATCGTCATGCTGTCGTCATACACCTCCTAAAGAGACAGCGCCGACCTGCGGCTCCGGCGGATCCTCCACCATATCCTCTTAAACATCCACGAAACCCCTCCGAGGACCTGACTGAGCTCGCAGAAGCTGCATGTTCCAATGGATGAACACAAGCTTCCGCAGACTGTCACTCGAGAGTTTATTGCGCCTCTTAGAGTGAATGAAGTCGTGCGAGGCCCAATTCCTCTCGCAAGGAGAGGCAGTGTCGCGAACTCGCTGTCTGATCCTGTCCACAAACCCCCACAGGGTGGAGGGGGAAGAACCGTCCATATCCATGTCACGCAACAGACTATACGCCGGCTGCATGACATCCTGTACGTGGTGCACACTCTCCCAAAACAAGTCGTACATCACAAGCTGTCGAACGGGGCGCTCATCCTGGGCTGCCGTCCCCTTCCACGGGGTGGAGCGCCATCTCACACTGCCCACAACATCCCTCAATATGCGCTCTTGATCGGTAAGGCGCTCCACCATCTGGAATGCTGACCCGAACCGTGTGTCACATGGTCTGATCAGCTCTAGCTGCCCTCGGCCCTTAAAGGAGCAATGATACGTGAGGGCCTTCTGAATGTTCTTGAAGAACATCACAACCTTGTGCGTGTTCTTCAAAATAGGGTGCACCCACTGGAAGCACGTGATGTCTCGAAGGAGGAGACTCAAGCAATGGGCTGCACAGGGGAGCCAAGGGATCCGAGAGATTGCGCTGTCGGGATGGTCCTGCAACCGCTGCGCAGCCACCTTATTGGCGTAAGCATTGTCAGTGCAATACGCATTGACAACGTCAATGCGAATATCTCAGATGATGTCCTCCCACAAATCCACAGCGCCAAACCAGTCTTGTCCCTCTCCGACATGTCGACGGTGGTGATCAAGACTCGCCCGTCCTCGCCTGCTGCAATGAAGTTGACGACGGGCTTGTACGACCTCGTTGTAGCCCCGTCTGTCATCATGGTACACCCTGTGAGCTTCCATTTCGCCTTCTTCGGCGCAACTCTTTCCGCAATCTCGTGGTAGATCTCATCTAGGAGCCGTGTGCGCATGTCTGTGTATGAGGGTAGGACCAAAGCTGGCCCAATCGTCACCCGCATCAATGACACCATACAGCCATTTCGTCAAAACGGACATATTATATTTTTTGAACGAAATCATAACTGATTTTTTTTGCCAAAATCCGGTTGGAATTTTTTGATCCTGGGGGTCCGGCATTCCCAAAACGCCGGACCCCCCTGGTCTATGGTTGAGACCAGATACAAATTTTATTTATTTTTTTTTTACTTATTTATTTATTTTTTTAATCTGGTCTCAACCATAGACTAGGGGGGTCCGGCAATTTGGGAACGCCGGACCCCCAAGAGCAAACAATTCCGACCGGATTTTGGCAAAAAAAATCAGTTTTGATTTCGTTCAAAAAATATAATATGTCCGTTTTGACGAAATGGCTATGTGGTCTTGAGGCGCATGAACGAGAAAGGCACCCCAGCCTTGAACAACGCTCTCGCCCACAACCTCTCGTATAGCTGCTGCAACCCCCCACTGGCCCAACTATCCAACCTCGTCTGCAGCATTCGACGATCATGGGGCACGACGACGCCCGATGGGCCAGATGTGCCCCCCGTCCTGATCCATGCCATGTCCACCCCCCGCCTCGAACACTGTCGTAAAGTGCCATCCGAGCGGGTCGGCTGTCGCCCCGCCTCGAGGACTCGTATCCTCTCTCTCAACGTACTGAGCTCGTCCTCTGGGCACACACCACCAACCCGTCCCTGATCTGTCATGGGGGGACCAGTCCCTCGGCCTCCCGACTCCTCTCCGTGGTCAGCACCCCGGTCGTCTGCCATGCGTGCAACAGGGGTAGCCGCGTCATCAGCCCTCCGCAGGTCCTCCATCTCCAACTCCTCCTCGCGGACGTCCATGTGCTTCTCTGCCATAGCCCTCCCCACTGGGTCCGTGATGGAGACCCCGTCTCTCATTAACTTGTACGAAATCTCTCCTGTACGAAATATGCAGTGCGCAGCCGGGCGGGTGAAGTGGTCCTCTGCCTTCGTCCGCGCCCCAACCCATATGTGGTTGCACAACGTGCAACGCAACTTGTACTGCCCCTTTCCTCGCACTCCCACCTCCTGGCCCTGACGCACTCATTCCTATACCGCATGCTTCCCTTGCAGCCAGCGCTGTCGACTCTCATCGGCCTCCTTGAAAGGCACCTCCGCGTTCGGTAGGCTAGTGAACCTCCCTCGTGATCCTGGTCGGGACATCACACAACCTCTATCTCTCTCTCTCTCTCTCTGTATATATATATATATATATATATATATATATATATATATATATATATGTCAGTCATATTCTATGTATATTTCTATCTATGTATCCATCCCTCTCTTTCTCTCTCCAAGAATGTGCGTACGTATCTCTCTCTTCATGCATATCTCTGTCGCACGTAATCCAACATCTGCATTACTGCGTTTGATCATAACTTGCAAAAATAGAAAGAAAAACGGCGGGTCTATTGGTCATTTGATTGAATGATAGTAGGATTGATTGATTGATTGATTGATCGGTTGCTCGGATGGTCGATTCACTGCTGGGTTGGTTGATTGATCAATAGATTGGTTGATTGGTTGATTGATAGTCTGGTTGGTTGATTGATTGATTAATTGATTGATTGATTGATTGAATGGAAAAGAAAAAACGAGTTTGAGGGCTGGGCAGCAGGTGAGGATGCTAGAGGCCAGTCGAATCAACTCCAACTCCATCTCCAACTCCAACTCCTTCTCGCGAGACTGGACAAGGGGAGACTGGACTGGGATATTATCAGGATGCGAGGGATAGACACAGAGAGAGGAGGATTGATTTGATTGATCCGATTGAATCAATCGATTTGATTGATCGATTGATTTGATTGATTGATTGATTGATTGATTGATTGATTGATTGATTGATTGATTTACTGATTGATTGATTGATTGATTGATTGAAGAGGAGGAGGAGGAGGAGGAGGAGGAGAAGAGGAACACGACGAGGAGGAGTAGGAGGAGGAAGGAGAAAACGAAGAGGAGAGGAGGAGAAGAGGAGGAGGAGAAGGAGGAGGAGGATGTCGAGGAGGAGGAGGAGGAGGAGGAGGAGGAAGAGGAGGACGGCGAGAAGGAGGACGAGGATGGCGAGAAGGAGGATAGCAATTTTTTTATTTTTTTAATCAATCAATTAATCAATCAATCAATCAATCAATCAATCAATCAATCAATCAATCAATCAATCAGACTTGCGTTTTTGATTGATTGATGGATTGATTGATTGATTGATTGATTGATTGATTGATTGATTGACAATCAGACTTGCACTCTCACTTTGCGCTCACACACACACACATTGCGCGCTATCTACAATTATGGCGGGGTACCGCCACTACCACTAGCCATGGCTACTTCTGTCCACTTCGACTTCGGGCCATCTGCATACCTCTTCAACTTCGACTTAGACTTCCACTTATTTTTTATATCAATCAATCAATCAATCAATCAATCAATCAATCAATCAATCAATCAATCAATCAAATCGATCAATCAAATCGATTGATTCAATCGGATCTTGATTGCTTGATTGATTTGATAGATTGATTGATTGATTGATTGATTGATTGATTGATTGATCAATTGACTGATTGATTGGAGGAGGACGAGGAGAAGAGGAACACGACGAGGAGTAGGAGGAGGAAGGACAAAACGAAGAGGAGAGGAGGAGAAGAGGAGAGGAGGAGAAGAGGAGGAGGAAGAGGAGGAGGAAGAGGAGGAGGAGGAGGAGGAGGAGGAGGAGGAGGATAGCGAGAAGGAGGAGGAGGAGGAGGAGGACG